AGATAGTAAAATTTTTATATTTCATAGAGTATGATAGTTTACAAATATTAATTTTTAACATTAAAGTTTAATTATAAATATATATTATTGTAAAATTTAAAATTACATTTAGCATAATTAATACAACACTTGTAAAAATTCATTAATTATGTTAAATGTAATTTTAAATTTTAATTTTTGAATTAATATTAATTTATTAAATTTAATTTTTATTAATAATACATATCAAACTATATTTTAAATTTATTTTAATTGAATATTTAACTAATGATGTTTAGGATATCGAGATATCAATTTGAGTAAAAATTTTAAAATTTAATTAAGTATTTTATAAAATTCAAATATTTTGTCCAATAATAGAGTTCAAAGTAAAATATCTCACAACCCGACTAGTTGGCATAATTAATAATTTACATTAGGATTTGCTTTTGTACAATATCTGTGATATTTTTTTATTTATAAAAATTCAACGTGTCACAATTTAAAAAAAAAATCATAAATCTCACATCCTCGTGCGGTTAAATCCACCGTTCTTACATCTTTCTGCCTTTAGGAGGCTTCTGAGTTGGGCTTTTGTTGGGCTTCATATGGGCTACGGAATGGGCTGCTTTGATGTTGAAAATGATAATAAATAATGATAATAAATAATAATAATAATAATAAAAACAGAGTCCCGAAGTGCGGGGGATTCCCCTAGTATATATAAGGACATCGTCTCAAATCCCCGGTTAATTTGGTTCTCTGTTACGTTTAGCTTAACGGGCATTGTGAAAACCCTAGCTCCGAATTTTTATCTTTTGATCTTTTTCTGGTAACGAATACAATGGCGACCCAGCAAACGAAGCTTCGATGGGGGGAACTAGAAGAAGACGACAACGAGGATTTGGATTTCTTGTTACCACCAAGGCAAGTTATCGGACCTGACGAGAACGGGATCAAGAAAGTCATAGAGTACAAGTTCAACGACGAGGGAAACAAGGTCAAAATTACGACGACCACTCGGGTCAGAAAACTCGCCAATGCCCGACTCAGTAAACGGGCCGTGGAGCGGAGGTCTTGGCCAAAGTTTGGGGATGCCGTAAGGGAAGATGTTGGTAGCCGACTCACCATGGTTTCCACTGAAGAGATCCTCCTTGAACGCCCTAGAGCCCCTGGTTCGTTTCTTTTTATTATAAATTATGAATGTTTAGCTTTGTTAATTTCGGTGTTGGTGAATTCTATTTTACTTTAGTTTATGAAAGAAAAATAATTTTGGCTTAATTTATCTTTTTTTATTGAAATTATTGAATTGTATGGAATTCTGGGTAGTTGAAAAGATTAAAATTTTAGTCGTTTCCATATTTGGCCTCGTTAATTTTGTTGTTTGTGCATGAATGAATCAAAGTTTAACTTAATTTATGAGTTTTTTTAATAGTTTAGCTTGTTAATAGCTTTGAATCAATTGACCGAATTAGTTGGGTTTAAATATCTTGCTTAGTTTTATTACGACGATTATTATTTTTAAGATTAATTTTGGAGCTGCCTATAGGTAGCAAAGTGGAAGAAACCAAAGTTGCGGGAGATTCCTTGGCTCAATTAGGGAAAGGAGGTGCAGTTCTTATGGTGTGTAGGACATGTGGTAAAAAGGGTGACCACTGGACATCCAGGTGCCCGTACAAGGATCTTGCTCCATCGGCTGAGGGATTCATTGATAAACCTGCAGCTTCTGATACTGCAACAGCTGCTACTGGCTCGGGCAAGAGTACGTATGTTCCTCCAGGTATGAGAGCTGGAGCAGACAGAAGCGGAACTGATATGAGACGCAGAAATGACGAGAACTCTGTCCGAGTCACTAATCTCTCAGAGGATACCCGGGAACCTGACTTGCTTGAGCTTTTCCGGCCATTTGGTGCAGTAAGCCGAGTTTATGTTGCTGTTGACCAGAAGACTGGCATGAGCAGAGGTTTTGGTTTCGTTAACTTTGTGAACAAGGAAGATGCCCAGAGAGCTATAAATAAACTGAATGGCTATGGTTATGACAATCTCATCCTGAGAGTTGAATGGGCTACACCAAGGACAAACTAGATTGTGTTATTTATTTAGGTTTTAGTACTTAAATAAAAATTTGGGCCAGTTCTTTATCTTTTCTATGTCTAGATCTCATTAGGATATATCCATGTCTTTTGAAGATTTGGTTTTCTATTTAGTTAACTTCTAATAGTATCTGACTTTCTGTGTAATTCTTCTTTTCCTTTTATGATATGATTAGTATTTACTAGTGTATTTTGCTTTGCTTTGATAATGCAGTGGTTTCTCTTTTCATCAGCTCATAGTTCTGCAAGTAAATCTTGGACCATAGGTTGCATATGGAGCAGGATTGTAACCATGTAGTTTATTGAAAGCTCATTATACGTTTTCTAGGAATAAAATTTTACAGGAAGTCATTTTCGTCGTTGTTATTATTTTCATTAAATTCATCGACTTTTTTGTCAGCTATTGCATCATCTGCAAGCTCCTTTGGTGGCTTGCTCTTATTCATAATAACTGCTAGTTACAACAGAATACAGGGCTAGTTTGATGCAGTTTCTTCAGTCAGAAATACATTGGTGAATCTCGTGCTCTGCTAGTCATTTAAGCCCTGGTGACATCATTCTTCATCCCAAAAATATGGTGAGGAGCAGAAAGATGAAGTGGGGATTTGATACCTTTAGAGACAATGAGGTCAGAGCTGGTGGAAGGACTATTCATGGAGGAGGAATAGCTGTATTCTGGTGGCAGTTTGAAACGTCCAGGATCACCAGGAAGTCGTGCGTAGGGTGCAGGAAGTGGTTCATTGAAAATGGATCCTTCTGCAGTTGGCTGCTCACCGGCTCTATACTGGATGATGACCCTGTAGATTAAAGGAATGAGACCCTCCATGAGAAAGAGAGGTATAGAAACGGAGGAGAAAGATCTTGAGCTCGGTGAAACTGCTGCGAAGTTTTAATAAATAGAAGAAATAGGTGGATATTTTGGTAGAAAGTCCATCTCTTACAGCCTAAACTGAGAACTCATTCCAAACTGTTCGTGTCTACATTAACTCACCAAATGTTGCCAAACAAGAATTATCACTTTTTTAATGTCATCTTAGTGACTTAGTTAAGGGTTATGTTGTTGTTAGTTGGTGTTTCATTTTCACAGTCCAAGATCAAAACATTCCTCTACAGAAGTATTTACTTTCTTCATCACTGTGGAAGGGGCGCCTGCTCTCTTTTTGGTCTGTTTGTTTGATTCCCTCATTTCTTGATTCACCAAAGAGATCAAAGAAAAAACTATGATCTTTGAGTCTCTGGATCCTCTCAATTCCTGACAGTGAAACCTGTCGCAGATGAAGACGAGACCAAGCAAACAAATCAAATTCCGAGAGAACAACATATTCCACTGCAGTCTACACTCAACTCTTTCTAGTCTTTCAGACAATGATCCGGTAAGACCCATTTGGACAATGATAATAATAGAGCACAAGACATGAAAGTTGCCATATGCTTGTAAAATCTGGTTGTCTTACATATACCTAAAACATTTTAATCAAGTTTGGTTTTTGTTCACTTAGAAGTTAATTCTATCACCTAATCTCTCTCTTACTCTAATTAATACTTAGCACATTTAACAGTTGTATTCTTGACAATAAAATTAAACAAAAGTGTTTCAATCTCACATTAAATAAATAAAAAATCTCGAAAAAACTTATAAGTGTGAACATTGCATACTTTATTAACTTTTTACAATGAGGGTAATAGCCTTATGATGCAAACATGTTTCTTAGATGATTCTGTTGAAAAGTCCATGTCTTGCTGCCTAAAACGATGGGGAGTCACTTTCAAACCATGCATGTTGTAAATAATTTACCAATTGTTACCAAACATGAAACTGTTAAGCATTTTGTTGTAATTTGATTAGCTAAGCAGGTGGTATGTTGTCGATGTTTGTGTTTGATTTTCCTTCCTGGAATCGTCACCTGGAAGTTGAATTTCCACGAACAATCGTCTCATCTGTCTTCAAATAAATAAGAAGAAAGAAACAAATTTCGAAAGGAAACACAGCAAGATGGCACACCACAAACGCATGATAGCCAGGAAAATCCCACACGACATGGACCTACATCCAAAACCCTGAAACGAATTCTCATGATTTGATCTACCATAAAAGGAAAGGGAAGGAACAGATTTATTCAAAGTGAAGACACTCTGGATGCACCCAAATTCAACAAAATTGGGAAATTACAGAAGAAAATTGTATGGAGGAGGAGAACATGTAGATAACAAATGGGAAATGTTATGGTTTGGATCTTTCATTCTTGAAATTGTCAAATTGCAATAACTGAAATATTTATAATAGTCATAATATTTTATTATAATTGTAATTTTTATTTAATAAAAAATATCATTTTTTCATCTGTAATGGATAATATTATTTACTATCATTAATTACAAAAAAAATTAAATTAAATTAAATTAAATTGGAGGACGGCAAGTTCGGCCTGCTAGCATAGTCCTGCATTGTACCATACCACCAAATAGCCCCAAATGTTATTATCTTATTGATATTCATGCCTAATTTTTTGGTTTACAATATGTTTGCATTTCTTTAAAGTATAATGTAAGAAAAGCAATAATTTAATTTTATTTATGATTAAAAGATATATTGCTTTCAAGAAATAACTTGTTATTACAAAAATATTAATCACAACAATTTGCATCTATTAATCACTAACGAACTTAATTAATCTTTGACCAAACATAAAAAATAACATAATTTAGTTGTTACTTGGATGAAAAGACAAAATATCTTCTCAAATTAAAAAAGTATTAAACACTACTATTTATAAAGATTGTTGTCCTCATCTACGGAATTCTTCAAAAACCCACAAAGTTTGACTTGACAAAATGGGCTATATAGAGTATTTATTTTTGGACTAATTTTTATGAATCACCTTAAATGCTGAAAACTTGAGAAGGCAAAAGCAATAAGGAAAGAGTTCAATAAAGTTTTTTTTTTTTGTCTCAATGGCAATGAAAGCTTTCTCTTCTCCAATGGTTACCATTTTCTTACAAAGCTTCTGTTTTTGAGGTTTTTGTTTTTGTTTTTTTTGTTTTACTGTCATTGAATTTATATGGAGACAAGGGCAAGAAGAGGGCCCATAAATAAGCCCAGATTCCCTTTGACAGTCTGTACTCATCTCGTGGCCCTTGCTTCTCTCAATATTCACACTCTGTTTGTCTCTTTACATAACTCTCTCTCTCTTCTCCAAAGATTTTATTTTTACTAAAAAGCCATTGTGGAGATCAGTAGCTTCTTTTCACTTCCAAGCTCTCATGGCTTCTATTATTGAATCTGGCTGGCTGGTAAAGTTCCTTCCTTTTTGTTGGTCTTTCTTGTTTCTTGCTAAGTTTCTTTTTGGGAACTGCCCATAGCTTGTTTTGGATCTGTCTTTGTTGGGTTTTTGTGGTTTCGGGATAATGAGAGTTAACATGAAGGTTGGGTTGGTTGGGTGATGGTTATTTATTCAAAGTTTTTAGCCTTTATAGCTGTTTTTGGATGTGACGTTGAAGGTACATTCAGATGTTGGATGTCATTTTTTATTTTTACAAAGCAGGATTTGATTAAATAATGCTCTTTGGTTTTCTTGTCTCTTACGAATTGAAATTCATTTTGCCAGCATAGTTTGATTTTTTTGGTTTTTTTTCTTAAGTATTGCAAATGATTGTTGTGGCTTTCATAATTGGGATGCTGGTAGCTGCAGAACGGAGATTAGTTTGGGTTTTGAACCCAGGTCGCTGCTTCACATTAGTTTTTGGTTAGATTGGCTAATTCATTAGCTCATCAAGGAAATTAGTTTACAATAACAAGTACCTGAAGTTGGAATCCAGACTAGAGCGCCTTGTTTGTCCATGTTGAGTATGTGTTGCTGGCAACTGATCATTTTAATCCTATATTTTATTGGTCTCTAGCAAAGGATTACCCTTTTTTTTACAGTGAAGGCAAATTTGTCTGGTTTTGCTTATTGATTTCACCCCTGGATTCATTGTTTGTTAATTTGTTTGAATCATATCATGCTCTTTTTATGCATAGAACAGCAGTTTATGTCATGAGATCTTCTCCCTGAAAATCTTCTTTGTTTACCATGCAGTATCTGATCACACATTTCAGTGACTTCCAACTAGCAAGTCTGGGAAGTTTCTTTCTTCATGAAAGTGTTTTTTTCCTATCTGGACTTCCATTTATATATCTGGAAAGAGCTGGATTGCTGAGCAAATACAAGATTCAGGTTAGCTCATCTTCTTTGCTGCTATAGTTATCAACTGTTAT